CCCCCCATCTGTCCCTTCCCAAAAGCGGCTGCCCTCCCCCAGGGGACCCCACTGCCCCCCCTCCTCACCTTCTGCAGGCTGGAGGAGTTGAGCTGCGTCTTGTCGATGATTTTCACGGCAACCTGGACAACGGGGAGAGGAGGAGGTCAGGGAATGTCCCCAAAACTGTCCTCACACTGCGGTGGCACTCATAAGGTGAGGGGCAGGGGGACAGGACTGTCCCCACACCACAGTGGCACTCGCAGGGAGAAGAGGAAAGGGATCAGACTGTCCCCAGGACTGTCCCCGCAATGTGGTGGCCTTCATGAGATGAGGGGCAGGGGGACGGGACTGTCCCCACACTGTGGTGGCACTCACAGGGTGAGGGGGCAGTGGGAAGGGACTGTCCCCATGCCATGGTGGCACTCATGAGGTAAAGACCTGTCCCTGCGCTGCAATGGCACTGCCGGTGACAATCCCGGGGCAAGAACCAGGAGCTCAGGTCTGTCCCCGTTCCACAGTGGCACTCGCAGGGCGACAACCAGCAGCCCGTCCCCACGCCGTGGTGGCACTCGTGGGTCAGGACCAGGAGCCCATCCCCAAATCACGGGAATGAGGACCAAGAGCTTGGGACCATCCCTGGGCCACGGTGGCACTTGTGGGGCGAGGACAAGGAGCCTGTCCCCACGGTGGCACTCACCAGACAAGGACCACGAGCCCATCCCCGCTGTGACACCCACAGGGTGCGGACCGGGAACCTGTCCCCACACCACGGTGGCACTCATGGGACAACGACCGGGAGCCCAGAACTGTCCCCAAACCGCGGTGGCACTCATCCGATGAGGACCATGAGCCCATCCCTGCTGTGACACCCACAGGGCGAGGACCAGGAACCTGTCCCCACACCATGGTGGCACTCACGGGACAAAGACCAGGAGCCCAGAACTGTCCCCGCACCACGGTGGCGCTCACAAACCCATCTCCACGGTGTCACCCACAGGGTGAGGACCGGGAACCTGTCCCCACACCGCGGTGGCACTCACCCGACGAGGACCACGAGCCCATCCCCGCTGTGACACCCACAGGGTGAGGACCGGGAACCCGTCCCCACACCGCGGTGGCACTCACCGGACGAGGACCATCCCCACGCCGCGGTGGCACTCACCTCTTTGCCAGTCAGGACGTGCCGGGCCAACTTGACCTTGGCGAAGTTGCCCTTGCCGATGGTTTTCAGCAGACGGTAGTTGCCGATGTGGGGCTGTTCGTCGGCGGAGGTGGCCGAATTCCGGCCCCGCAGCATGTTGGCCTTCCCGCCACCCTTTCCCTCTGCAGGACCCGGCTGCGGGGACACCAATGGGACAATCAGCTCGATATCCCCCCTGTCCCCTACACTCCCCTCCCGCGTATCCGGAGGCTCCCGGTAAAGCCGGGAGCAAAGTCCAGGAGAGCCGTTGCCCTACGGTGCTGTGCCGCGCCCCAGGCAGGCCGGGATCCGCCCCCGATACCTGATGCAAGCGTCGCGGTTTCGGGCTGGGCGAAGACAGGGCCGGCGCGGTGTCACCCCTTCCCCGGGAGGGGACAGGGACCTGGTTGTCCCCCTCCCCAATCCCCTGCCAGAAATAGGGCGCCCAAACATTGTGATTTTTACCCCAAAAACGAGCAACCCGGATGGCGGGGTT